AATTCATCACTTAATAAAAAACCACTCAACATGATCTCAAACTCCTTTACAAATTGTAAATAATCAGCCGGGTTTCCATCAAAACATCGTGGTTCTAATTTAGGGAGTTTGATGTTCCTATTATCCCTGAACGGCGAAACAGTAACATCAACCATATCATGTTTAACATCAGACACATCGTTACAATTAACAGACAAGTCACCATGACTTACTTTCCTGTTTGCATCCAAGACACTCTGTCCTTTCTTTGACCCAGGCATTGTTGAACTTGACCCAATTCCAAAAAAGTTCCAGATATTGCTTGTTCAAAGAGGACTTGACCGGCACCAGGAAAACTGAACGGCGACTATACAAACTTTCACCAACTGTTTCAATCCGCCAGATCTGTTTCTATCGTCAGAAACTGTCATCAAAGTCTCATAAACCGTTAATGCCCAGCTCTCGCTACGCTCGGGCCCACACTGTTCTTAGAAGATTTCTGAGAAACGCTTAGTTATAACGGACGCGAAAACCAAAACACCGATCTGCCGTTTGATATTTTGTATTGTTACACCAACATATAAGAGGAATAAACGAACTAAGCAACTAAGGTCTGTAAACAAATATTACAATAATAAATCGTTATGTTACTTCTGACGATGTTTCTTTCTTCTTTCTGAACAGCGACCGATGAGACGATGACTGTCGTATTGATGCTTCCGCGAAAATCGAGGAAGTTGATTTTGAGCAAACAACCAAGAATTGATCGTTCAATCTTCAACTCCATTCACAGTAGTATTAAACTCGTTAAATATGTATTTTGTAAAATATTATAAGGTATGGTTTCTAATATAATTGTTTTTCGAAATACCTACACTAATTTCACTTTGAAATTTAAAAGGAGAAGAAAATTAGTAAGGTGGCTGAACTTTTGTTGCATAAGTAGTAGAACTTAGGTAGACGTAACTGGCCACGTTGAAGAATGGACTGGCTTTCGTTAGCCATGCCAAAAGTGGACATCATGATAGTACAAAATATATTGATTTTATTATACATTGCTAATGAACGTTGTCGGCCTAAGGATTAATTACTTCCCCATTCTGTTTTCCACATAAATGTGTTTATTAATGATATATTTCACTCACTTAATCTATTACACTTTAATGTTTCACCTTAGCACTTTAACTTTTCTAAAACAGCTTCCAATCCCTTGTAAACGTTGTACTTACCTCAATATTGGTTGGTTATCGTATGCCGACAACCACGGGATGAAAACGAAACGAAGTCGATTTTCCCGCTCAACCTGGAGGACAACTGTACAATTCAATAACTATACGGCCTGGTTCAGACAATGAGTGTAATTATATATATGTATCAAATATTTAACTGTTGTAACATTATTAACTTGTAGACAATTTAAGATTTGACATTATAACATACTTGATCGTGCCTGTAAAAATGGCATGCATTTTCATGTAAATTTATGTTTATATGAAAATAAAAATTATTATTATTATAACAGTTGTGGTCTTTCAGAAGAGCTAGTGTGGCCACGTTAATGTATCTTTCCAGTCTGCATTTGAACCCACCTGGCTTTTCACGTCTAATTTCAGATGGTAGTTGGCCCCAAAGAGTGAAATATTTAATGCTGAAAAGTTTGCCCTAGTGGCTTTTCTGTGCGTAGCCACCTTGAGAAGGTAGTCGTGGTTTTGCGAATGATATGGTTTAATATTTGTTGACGTTATGGATGAGTCACTGTAACAATGTTTCCTAATCACTTTGAAGAGTGGAAATAAGTTGTATTTCACTCTCCTTAACCATGTTGGTTCTAATTTCAGTCGTACACACTTGTCCACACATTCCACTTGTTGGTCAAATCCTTTCATGCGTTTCCTGATTTCCGGCACTTTCGACTCTTTTCGGACTGCAGACCTTAGGTTTCTAAATAAAAGAGCACAACATTCAAGTCTGGGGCGAATGCATGTCTTATATATAGCTAATATTGCTACTTAAGTGCAAAGATTGCTCAGAACAAAGCCAGTTAGTCGTCTACAGTCAGACACTATCTTATTTGCACGACCGGAAAATGTTAAATATGACACCCGAAGATTTGTGCCTGTATTCAGTTTTGAGAGGAGGTTACCGTATACGTGTAGACACAATCTCGGTTTCGGTGTTCAAAGTTAGTTACACTGCGCTAGAGTGGAATGAAAGTCAGTTGCCACTTTTCGCTCCGGTCACCTAGACTGTTTAAGTTGGTGTTGGAATTTACTTTCAGTGCTGTCATCGTATGCATTATCATATGCTATCTTGAGATCATCTGCAAAGAGGTATGGCTTGCCGTACTTGGTCACAGAAACGACGTCACTTATGAATGAGAGGAAAGGAATGGAGCCAAGAACTCTGCCTTGTACTACACCACTAGTTATCGGCTTTGGTATAGACAGTTAGTGATTGATTTTGACTAACTTCTCTCTTTCAGTGAGAAGAGAATTAGTCAATTTGAGAAGCTTTCCAGTTATTTAGTAGGAATAGAGCTTTGTTAAGAATCTGTTATGTGGGGCTTTATCAAAGGCTTTGCAAACGTCTTGAAATAACGTTGCTACTGAATGCCCATTATCTATGCGTTGTGTACTGTGGTGAAAATAATCAAAGTGGTAAGTAATGCGCGACCTCCTACTTAAGAAAACGTATTCGGATGGAGATAGAAGTCCATTGTAGAGAAAGTACTGAATGATTCGAGTCTTTACTATCTCTTCTATTGCGCGTGAAACTAAAGACATGATGTTGATGGTGGTCATCGATATTACCTATAGGCTCATAATTACGAATGGGTACAAAATAAGACTTCTTCCAGCAGGTAATCGTACTTACATGTTTTATCTAGCCTACAGTCATGGTGGAGTTCAGGAAAAATAACGCCTATGGAGTCCTTGACATGAACTCCATGGTATTTCTGGCATACTGAAATCATCTTTCGGGTGCGTTGGTGGCACAGTGGTTAGGACTCTCGCCAACCATGCACATGATCCGGGGTTCGATCCCCTGCCGATGCACACCTGATATCTGTGGTCGACCTGCAAAACTTGGGATACCAATATCCATGCTGAAAATTCCACACTTGTACCAAAAATACAGTTTGGAATCAAGATGTAATCAAAAATAAATAAAACTTTATATATGAAGTCTGGGTGGGATGCGACATTAGAAGTGCTGCCATATTTGTCGTCATGTTCGTGGATCTCACTTAGGTGATCATAATCAGTAACGGCTCGCATATAAAGTTGCGTGTACTCGAGGTCAAATGACTCTTTGGAACTCGTCAAGCGTAGCTTAGGTTAATAGGTGTAGTCTAATTAAATGTTTTGAGTGAACAGGAAACGTCGTAGCAAAATATACATGACTACCGTCTAAGTATACTCAAGTGTCTTTGGATTTACTAGCCATTATCTTCGGAAACATTAGGTGTGCCTGACAACTACAAATAAGTTGTGAGGTGGCAGAGAGATGTAATTATTCGATCGGTAAATACCTTAATTAGTACAGTTTTTCCCTCAGTGCAACGTTGTGGGGCAACTTATGATAAAATGGATACAATTGCGAGTAATCAGAAGAGAACATACGTTGTTGTACACTTAACTAACATGTAGTCAGGTGTACTCACTCCTGAGCTTTTTGTAGGACCGTATAAAACTCGCCATGGAGTGAATAATATTACTTGAAAGGGAATGTAATTATTATTACTATTGCTCCCTTGGGTTCCTAGTGGAACATAGGGCTTCAACTGCACGTCTCCATTTTCTTCTGTCTTCTGCTATACTTTTCGCCTGCATCCATATTAATCCATATTCTTTCAGCTCCTCTTCACACGATCTCCTCCATGTCACCCTTGGACGTCCCACACGCCGCTTCCCTGAAAGGGAATGTAGTCTTTTAAAAAGGGTTGAAAGAAAAGCAACAAGATGGATTATAGGCCTCCGCAACAAAACATATAGTTAAAGGTTGAGGAAATGAGGTTTATTACACGCGTAGCTAACATCGGCTTAGGAATGGTTTAATCCCTAATTAACGTCACGGTTTTACCCTCGTGATTTAATACATATGATCCGAATCTCTCAGACAGGGGTATTCTGCCATTAAGTCACTACAGACGTCTTCTTAGCAACCAAACATAAATGACACATCACCCAAGTGTACTGGCATTTCCTTTTTCTTCGAGCCTGTCACCTCTGGAACTCTTCACTATTGCGTCTTCAGCGGACTGTCTTAGGCGAAGGCTTCTCAATCACGCATCCAAACAAGAACCATTCCCCCCTGCGTACCGCACTTCATTAGTATGTATCATCTGAACTCCCCCTTTGTCCATGCTTAGTCTCTATTTTCGAACTGTTTTGATTACGTTGCCTACTCATCCCTTACTTTATTTATCCATCTATTATTCCACTTGTTTTCAAGTCTGCATATTCTGTACTAATTGTGTTAATATTATCTCGCTTTCTGACCACGCCAGACGAGTAACGAGTGATAAGATTAAGCCTGTTCTTACTAGCAATATGTTCTTAACACACCGCATACTGCGAACGACATATAACCACTCTCCATGTTATTTTAAACATTAAACAGCGATGCAGTATTAACGACTGGGTGACGTTTTTAGCGTAAATTATTGCTCATAATCACATCAAATTTAGTCACACGGTTTCACAGTTTGTTTTATATATTTTCTCTATTTCTGTCTATCCCGCTTCCCTCTGTTTTTTGTTGTCACTTTCCATATTTCCGGCTTATAGAATTACATTCTACCACAGTGCCAAAGTTCTGCACTTAAACTGTATAGCCAGACGGCCAAATCTTACCCCTGGAGGTTAACCAAAGAAATAACAGACGAGTCGGGGATAAACTATGCAAAAGATAACCGAAAACTGAAATCGCTTAACCTACAATCAGGTAGCGGGCTCAAAGAAACTAGTTTGTTTAATCCAGTTTCATAAAAACATATTGGATATCAGATACTTTGTTTAGGTCACTTACCGCGGTCTATTTGTGGGTCTACTTTTCCATTTGAGTCCGAAAGACGTTTGTACACCACGACGCATTTATATCGATACATTGAGTCTTTTCTTGTATAATAGACTTTTGACTGAAGATTTCGTAACTCTTCGCTGTATTTCACCAGAAATCTATTCTCTGGTGTGTGAAATTTAGTTTCTTGACCACGCGGTCATCGTCGAAAACTTCTAACCTGTCAAAGTTATGTCAGTTCCATTAACGAAAGAGGAATTAGATCTCTACAGTGACATCGGTTGCAAGGGATAATGCAGACCACAGGGGTTCACTATCTGAAGCTAGCACAAATAAAATCTTTTTGTGGCGGAATTTCGGGAGTTTTTGGTTTTGGCAGTATTTAGGGGAGAAGTGCTGAAATCCCCCAAAATTCTTTTATTTTGGTAGGCACCACTAATCACGACTCAGTCAATAACTGGAGGTATAGGTTCACCAGTAGACTAGAAACCTAGGTGGTGATTCTAAAAAAAACTAATGTATATTGCGTTTTCAAAACTCGGCTCTCCATGTTTTCATCCGTAACTGACCTCGTCTATTCTCATGCGTGGGCCTGAAGTGGTTTATACGTTTTCTACCTATTAATAAATGATTCCTGTCACTTTTGTGTTTTGTCGTGACTGCTTTACGTAGTTGTTTTCAGGTGGAAATAATTTTTTTCTGCATGTGCATGTAACATGTAAATAATATGGAGCATTTTTACTCTGTGAATATAGTTCACATGCTTTGCTTATTTGTTTTCGTATGATTAAACTAAAAATTTGTAACTATCACAAATATGTAGTTGTAATATGTTGACGTGGATTCGCTTGTTTTCATGGATTAAGAAACTAGATTTTGCTCCTGTAGTTTTAAAATGAACCGAAGGCATATGAGCTATTATTAGACCATTCAGAGAATAGACATTCATTACTAAACAAGACTTGTTCGTGCCAACCGTTTCACACTGGCTTTAATGCTCGAACGCAAACAGAAAATAGCTCAAGTTGTGTCTGAATTAATAAGAAGTTCTTGAATATATAATGGCAGCTGCATCTCTATAGAAATGGTTGAAGCATAATGGCGATTTGTTTTTTTATTGTTTCCATCACCTGGAAAACAATTTTCTGAGTACAGTGAAGAATAGTCGCTTTCAGTATACGGTCTTGTGCCATCCATCAACATGGTACTAATTATCCTTGCCACAATCGTAGTCCCTAAGTACATGAGCAAATTTACGTGTTCTTTGTTGGGTGAATGTTTCTTTTAGATGTCTAGTCTCACTATCACTGCGATACAGCCAGTCGGCTTATACTCAGCTTAACTGTTCTAATTTCTATGGCTATATAACAAGCCCTTTTGACATGAAAGTACTTAAAGAAACTTATTCGAGTCGCTGAGAAATAGCAGTTTAGGCTGATTGAGGAGCTGCTTTTGTAAGTCTGTGGTCAATAAGACTGTAATCAACAGAGAGGTCACTGGCTTGTCAACAGTTCAGCTGGTCTCCAACTAATTAATTGCCTGCTGGTCGACTGCAGTGTGAAAAAGTAATCAAATGTCTCTAGTAGTTGATGAGCATTGGGAAGATCAGAACACTCGTCGCTGATCACTCTCAGCAAATCACTCAACTTCAATTTACTTGACGTTGTAAGAAATTGTGATATTAGCTGTTAATCTGTTACAAAGCGGGCCATAGGTCCTGATGCATTGAAAAACCGGACAAGCTTTCATACAGTAAATTAGTTATCGTCTAGTTACCTGCCATAGTAATATTATTTTGCTATGGTTCGTGTCATTTACTGCTATCTATATAACTATTACAAAGTCAATAAAGCTTCTTTTCTACAAGTGATAATCTCTGAAATGGTCTATTGAAAATATTTTCACACGTATAATTACTTCGTCCTATTTGTAGGTTTATTTCCATCGGCTTCAGTCTATCTTCCGGCCAGCAGCACGTTACTTTCGTTCTGTTAGTTTATTGAAAACATCAAAGCAACCTGTTCTTTCCCGTAGTATGGACTTCTATGTAATTGTCCCACCTCCTGTTCACTGTCTTGACGTAACCGAAGCATTTCGTTCACTTAGTAAAGGTGAAAAAGATTATGTCTTCAGTTGCACACAAGCATCATGGGTTGGTGGTCTAATTGGTTTAATTCAAACATCTCCAGAATCTGCTGGAATATTCCTATTTATTTATCGATTCTTCAAGTCTCAAGATGTGCATTCATTCACTGAAGAAGCGAAAAAGAAGAACTTTTCTGAGGAGGAGATAAACTACTTACTATCATACTTTGCATCAGTTCTAGGCAACTTTGGGAATTACTTGTCTTTTGGAGATACCAAATTCGTTCCACCTATTAGTTTGAGTAGAGTAACAGAGCTTCTATCAGTGAATAGCGCATTTTCTAATCCGGAGACAGGTCTCAAAGCTTTGTGGGAAGAAGTAGCTCCTGCATTGTATTCATTAAGCTCCCGTCGTTTACGCCTTGGATTCGGTCCAACTGAAATAACAACTTACTACTCCGCAAACTGTACTCGTAGTGATGCTGAGTTAATTCAAAAGTATCTGGAAAGTATAAAAACTGAAGCATATAATACACGACTTTTCAAAAATGCTGACTCTAAAACAAAAGTTTATTCTCTTCGGTTTGCGTCAGCTGAGAAATCCATCCAACCCGTATCTTTTGATGCCCTTCCCTCGGACACATCTTTGCAGCTTGAATATGGTGATTATAGTGAGCTGATGAAGTTACTAGTCGACTGTTGTAAAGATTCTAAAGCACATTCACTGAACCAGATTGAATCAGATATGTGGCATCAGTATGCTCAAAGCTTTACTACTGGTTCAGTAACTAGTCACAAAGATGCTTCCAGGTTATGGGTCAAAGATAAGAATCCTGTCGTTGAAAACTATATTGGTTTTATAGAGTCATATCGTGATCCGTTTGGCGTTCGTGCAGAGTTTGAATCATTTGTTGCTGTTGTAAATAGATCAATGTCAACAAAATTCCAGCGACTTGTAGATAATGCTGAGAGGTTGTTAACAAATTTACCATGGCCTTCTACATATGAAAAAGATAAATTTTTACAACCAGACTTTACTAGTTTGGATGTAGTGACGTTTGCAACTTCAGGGATTCCTGTTGGAATTAATATTCCTAACTATGATGATGTACGACAAGTTGATGGATTTAAAAATGTTTCTTTGGGCAATGTACTTAGTGCTCGTTTCAAGGTAAAGTTCCTTTTTCTTTTTAAAAGCTTATTTACCAAGCTAGGATCCTAAATCAGAATTTCTACGTAATGAAGATAAACAAATGTATGTGGAACATGCTGAGAGTTCTTTTGAATTACAAGTTGGACTTCATGAACTGTTGGGACATGGTTCTGGTAAACTGTTTCAGCGTGACTGTGATGGAAAATTAAATTTCGACACAAAAACTACTGAAGATATCATTAATGGGGGTCCTGTAAAAAGTTGGTATGTTGATGCTCAGAGTCTTTCCCTAATTTGTCTCTATTCACTACATTTTTTTCTTCACACCTGCTTGATATGATTGTGTAACAGAAGTAGGTATTCATGAGTGCCGCCTCATTTTACCAAGTAAGTATCGCTATGTACTGCTTTTTCTATTGGAAACCTCCAGCATGCGTTCCAATCACGTCAATGGGGACTACTAACACTTATTCACACTTAAATTAGATGTGAGAGCATTGCACACCCAGCTAAGTTTTCCTCCAAAGGGTGTGTGTGCGTGCTGGAAAGACTCCACAGTTGTTCGAGATTTCTCTGAGTATACTCGTGTGACTCGGTTACTTAACACAGGTACCCATTTGAAATGGAGTCTTTCCTCCAAGTAAGGGGCTAATCTGTATTGGAGAAACGAATTTTTAGACAATGTATAACAGCAGAGTAATTTATGTGACCATTCGAGATTGTTATTGTGTTTAGACAACTGTATATATTCAACCCTTGGTTATTATGAAATAGAACACGCGAAACCCCGAGGATAAAGGATGTTCATTAGAGATGATAAACTCAACTACTAATATTATTAGGTACTTCACATATCACAGAAATCCTGAAAAAAGGGATGTGTACAATTGGAACCATAGGTTACAAATGGTAATTAGAGAGTACCTTGCACCGTGAGTAATGGTTTATTTCGCTTAAAGATCTGTTGGAGTGAAAGCAAATTAAACTATTGTTCGTTGTAACCTGACTAAAATGTCGAACCAATGTAATGAGAAAATTATTATCAGTTGCCTCTTAAGAATTAATGATTTGATAATTAAATTGTACTCAATTTTTATCTTATATCATGTCGTTATTCTTCTTGCCACATTTCGTATTGTAAACTTTGTAGTTCATTTTATTTATTAGTGTTCTTGATCATAAAAACTTAAAATGTTGCAACGTAAGCGATCATCACCCTCACTGTGACCCTACTTAGATTTATTTAGTGCATTAGAGTAGACAGTCACAAGTTTATATAATGTTGCGAAACGTGAAAACTTGAATTATTTCATACCAGTGCTTTATTCCCCATGTCTGTATTTCTTTATCTTTTATTTGTCGCATTTTATGTGAATTATAAGTGTCTATGAGCGTGGTACGTGCTTTTCACCGTACCCGCATTCTTCCTTGCACTTGAAGTGTTTGAATTTGTCGGCAAGTTTGTATCTGTCTGTCTGGATTCAACATAGAACTTGTCACCGAAGTGCAGCAGTTCGAGTTGCCACGTTCCAAATAGCACACAGAGGTAGACAAGAAGATGAGTGAAGAGAATCAATAGAGTTTGACAAGTATAAGAGTGAAACAGAATGGGTAATGGTAGAAAGGAATATGAAAGATTACAGAGACTGAATATATCTGCGCCATTGACAACTATTTTGAGCCATGTCACCTATTGTCTCCAGCCATTGATTCCTAGAGTCCCGAGGCCCCCAACCCGGGAGTCTGCATCTCCCTACCTACCTGACTCAGTTTAACTGTCAAGGATTTCATGGATTGATGAGGCCATGTTTTTGTTTGGCCACCAATGGCTCTTTTCCAACCTGCACCTATATCAGCTGGCAATGTCCGTCGGGGGAGGCGATGGTTAGGCATGCGCAGCACGTGACCTAGCCATCTTAGTCTATGCAACTTTATAGCCTCGTCGATTGATTTTCCCTCTTTGCCCAACACTCTACGCCTAACGTCAACATTACTTACCTTATTAAACCACCTAACGTGAGACAGAGATCGCAGATATCTGTGATCGAAAGCAGTCAACCTTTTCACGTCTTCAACTAGTATTGGCCATGTTTCAGAGCCATAGAGAAGGACGGAGCGAACTGATGAGCAGTACACACGTCCCTTGGTTGATAACCGGATGTCACGCCTACGCCAGAGATGGTGTAAGTCAGCGAAAGCAGCTCGAGCTTTTTGGATCCGTGCTGAGATTTCATCGCCAATCAGTCCGTTGGTGCTAATGTGGTGAGAGCAGGCTGCTAGCCGATTGGTTGGCACTAATCTACGTTAAGGTCTAGGTCACTAATATGGGCCGTGAGAAAATATGAACAAGCCTGAGTCAACAACCAATCACAGCAAAGTTAACGTGGCAGAATATGATTCGCAGAGAGAACTCTATTTGTCAAGGAATCCCGAAACAACCAATCAGAAGCCTGCGTTTGTCTACCTAAACAACCAATCAGATGACTGCGCTTGTCTATAATAATGTTGTCTGAAATATGTATAAATACGTGTTGATTTTCATAATAAAACGATCTGTTGCCTGGCCCTTGTCTTCTGTTGTTACATTTGGTGTCGCTGCCTACCGACAAATGAAAAGCCTATACCCTGCAGTTTTTGATGGAGACATATGGATCTTCGGGCAGGACTTCAAGGCTTCTGCGCAGTTGAGTGGCGTTCAAGATCTGTCAGCGATGGAGCTGCTACTTGAGACGCTGCTGGGAGGTCGGGCGAAAGCAGCATATGAAGGTGTGGGCCGAAGTATGGACGAATGTTCGACAGGGTCAGGCAAACAGTTTCCAAAGTGGGAAGGACCATATATGGTCACTTCGAGATGGGGTTACGCAGACACAGTCGCAATGGCGAACAATGAGAGGCGCGTGAACGTCAGCGAGCTCCAGAAATGGATACAGCGAGACAAGCCAACGATGACGCCTGCACCAAGTAGATCAAGCCGACTTCAGTCGCACGTATTTGACGGGGGGACGAGTGTGGTGAGAGCAGGCTGCTAGCCGATTGGTTGGCACTAATCTACGTTAAGGTCTAGGTCACTAATATGGGCCGTGAGAAAATATGAACAAGCCTGAGTCAACAACCAATCACAGCAAAGTTAACGTGGCAGAATATGATTCGCAGAGAGAACTCTATTTGTCAAGGAATCCCGAAACAACCAATCAGAAGCCTGCGTTTGTCTACCTAAACAACCAATCAGATGACTGCGCTTGTCTATAATAATGTTGTCTGAAATATGTATAAATACGTGTTGATTTTCATAATAAAACGATCTGTTGCCTGGCCCTTGTCTTCTGTTGTTACACTAATACAACTTCCCAAATAGGTGAAGTGGTCAACATGTTCTATCACTTCACTCCCTATCACTAAGTTAGGAGTTGACGTCGTCCAGTCCTGTAGCAGCATCTTACATTTTGTAGGGGCGAATCGCATGCCAAACATACGAAGATTGCTGCTCAAGGTGTTCAGAAGACTCTGCATTTTGTCAGCATCCTCCCCTAACAGGACTATGTCATCTGCATATTCTAAGTCCATAAGACTATTCCCTGGTAACAAGTCGATTCCTAAGTCATTACGTTCAGTTAAGGATACTTCCATCAGCATATCTATGATGAAGTTAAACAGAAATGGGGAAAGTGGACATCCCTGTCGGACACCACTGGTTGTTACCAATTCAGATGACAATTCCCCATAAGCCCTTACACGACTACGTGAGTTTGAATAGAGTGCCTTGATTAGTGCAATGTACTTTCTTGGCACTCCCTTCACAGTCAGACATTGCCATAGTACCTTTCGATCCACGGAGTCGAAGGCCGCCTTCAAGTCAAGAAATATGACAATTGTTGGACGCCGAAAAGTGTGTCTATGTTCTAGAATCTGTCGAAGAGTGAAGATATGATCTATGCACCCTCTACCTGGTCTAAAGCCTGCTTGATTTTCCCTTGTCTGTTCCTCCCGAGTTCTGCTTAGTCTATGCATGATTACTGAGCCTAGGATTTTAGAGACTATGTTCGTTAGGCTGATCCCCCTATGATTATCACACGAGGACTTGTTTCCCTTCTTGAATATCGGTATAATAAGTGACTTACCCCAGTCTGATGGCACTGTCTCTGATTCCCAGACTTTGCCTAGTACCTCAGTTAATCTACAAACTAGTATGTCACCCCCATATTTAAACACCTCCGGAATAATTCCGTCGGGTCCTGCCGCTTTGCCTCGTTTCAAATTACTGATAGCTTTTGTGACCTCACTTACAGACGGCGGACCAGTGTCTATATCCCATTCGGGTGTGTGCTGGATGTTGGGGAGGTTCAGTGTGGCTGTAGGCAAGTTAAATTGTCCCTCAAAGTGTTCTTTCCAGCGTTCAAGGCGTCTATCCTGAGAGCTAATTAAGGAGCCATTTTTCTCAGAAATAGTCTCACTTATGATTTGCCTTCTCCCACCCGTTTCCCTGATGAGTCTAAAGAGTTGCCTAGTGTTGCCTATCGCCAATGCTTTTTCCATCTTTTTTGCCTTTGTCAGCCACCACTGTTCACGGTCCTTGCGGAGACTTTTAGTAAGTTTCCTTTTGTGCAGCTTTCGCTCCTCATTGAATTCGGAGCTCGCCGGAATAAGTCTTCTAGCATCTATCAGTTCGGATGAGGCAGTCGAAATCCAGTGGTTTTTACTCACCTTTGGATTTACCTTATTTGTATACCTAGTTAGTTAGTATACCTAGGTAGTTGTGTGATTGCTGGTAGAGGTGTGACAGATGAGATTTCTAACTGTGTAGTGAAATCCAGGTTTGCACACGCCAGTTTAAATCGCCTCTGGTGACATCAGCCTAGCTGTCAAAGGTCGGGTAACAATGCTTAGATGTGCGCACTCTTGCTCTGTGCCGATAAAACTTGATCTCCGAGCCAGGGATGTGCAGCGACTTCGCGTATTCGGTGATTGCTGCCTTTGTGGAATCGCTCGCATCTGATGGCATCATAATGTGAGTAATTTTGAGGCCTAGCAGCGTGGGTTTGCATACGGTAGAGGTCACCAATCATTGAGTGTAGTCATCTTGAAACACCACCTTGGATATCTTAGGCATGTGCTACGAATATCGCCTCAGAGGCTGCTGTATCTCTCGGTGTTCGCTAGTCCTGGGCCTGGATGAAAAAAGCGAAGAGGTGGTCAGCTTATGATTTGGCACTATGGGATGAAAGATATTTGTGTTAGGTTAGCATCACCTAATACACCACGACTCTGGTTGGTGTCCGAAAGTTAGTTTTGATCAGTGGCTCTAAGTGCTACCAGGTATGGCCAAGAATTGCAATCAGTGGCAAAAATACTATAATTTCCCTCTCTCTCTGTTTTCCCTTGCTGAAAGTAACATGAAGTGATGAGTGTTGATTGACCTAGGCAATTATGCTTACTTGCTTTCTGGATAATATTACACAAATGTCATCCGGCATCATAATTTAATCCCAGGATAGACGCCTAGAATGTTGGAAAGAGCAGTTCAATTGGCCTATATTCACGCTCAACTTACCGAGCATCCAACACCTTTCTGATTGGGATATAGACACAAGTCCTCTGTCCCTAACTGAGGTTACAAAAGATGTTACAAGTTTAAAACGTGGCAAAACTCCGGGACTTGATAAACTGACTCCAGAGATGTTTAAGGACGGCTAAAATAATTTGCTATCTGCGTTAACTAAGGTATTAGGCAGCGTCGGGGATTCAGAGGAAGTTCCGCGGATTGCTGTAAATCATTGATTATCAAGAAAGGAGACAAGTCTTCTTGTGATAATCAGAGGGTTTAGCTTGACTAATATGATATCTAAAGTTGTAGGCTCAATAATAATACGAAGACCAAGCGGTACTCTGGAGGAACGAACATGAGTAAACCTGGCAAGTTTTAGACCAGGACGAGGGTGTTTTGACTATATCTTCACTCTTCGACAGATTCTTCTACATTGGTATACTTACCGGCGTCCAACAATCGTCATATTTCTTGACCTAAAGGAGGCATTCAATTCCGTCAACCAAGAGGTACTATGGCGATGTTTGACTGTGAAGGGAATGCCGAGAAAATATATTGCACTGATCAAGGCACTCCACTCGAACAACTTCATCATAGATATGTTAATGGACTTAACCCTAGGTGACTTCAGCGACTCAGGGATTGACTTGCTACCAGGGAATAATCTCGTTGACTTGGAATATGCAGACAATATAGTCCTTCTAGGCGAAGACGCCGACGAAATTCAGAGTCTTCTGAACACCCTGAGCTGTAATCTACGAATGTTTGGCATGCGATTCGCTCCCGCCAAATGTAAGATGATGTTACAGGACTGGACTACATCGACGCCTTGTTTAAAAATAGGAAGTGAAGTGGTAGAACACGTTGACCGCTTCACTTATTTGGGAAGTACCATCAGCCAGAGCCAACGGGTTGATCTCTGACGAAATCTCCGCAAAAAACGGATACAGAGGGCTCGTTTCGCATTTGTCAGTTTACGCCATCTCTGGCGTAGACGCAATATCTGGCTATCAACCAAAGGGGGTGTTTACTACTCAGTAGTCCGTTCCATTCTCCCTTATGGCTGTGAGACATGGCCATTGAGAGTGGAAGGCATGAAAAGCCTAGCTAGGTGTTTTTGGTCATAGGTACCTGCGTTCTATTTCTCATGTTAGGTGATGGTATAATATGGTGAGCAATATTTAGGTTAGGCATCAGTCGAGTGCTAGGTAAGGAGGCGAAATCAATCGACTAGGTTGTGAAGCAGCTGCATCGATGCATAGTTCAAGTTGGTGTTAAAACATGCTACCTAACATTTCTAACCAAGAATTTATACTATCATGCTACTTAATTTTCTGCATGATTATTTCAGTGAACTAATTTCAAGTTGCAAGTGATTTAACGCAATTTTATGTACAACTTTTTCGTACACGAAGATAGCTAACTAGGAGACTGGGTTACGTGCCACAGACTTCTCATGTACTAGGCTGTGAGTCACATTTGCTGTGTGAGGAGGGCTGGTAACACCACTCAGTTGCTCATGTTAATGTAGGTGGGGTAATCCCAAAACCCGTAAACTAACATATTCAGTAGATGAACTTCATATGTAGACTATTTGATGTAATTAACCTGTAACAGTTTTCACCAGTAGTGTGCATTTTTTATTTTCCTTTTAAGGTATGAACCAGGAGAAACGTATGACAGCAAATTTTCAAGCCTTTCCTCTGCAATAGAAGAGTGTCGAGCTGAATGCGTTGGAATTTATTTATCTGATCTACCTCTTGTTCTGGAACAATTCGGTTTGAATACTGACTGTGCTCAAGGCGATGTTCCAGATGTAGTCTATATCAATTGGTTGTCAATGATTCGTTCCGGTGTAACTTCTATGGAGTTTTATACTCCAGCTGAAAATGCTGGTGACATTGGTTCATGGCGTCAAGCGCATTGTTGTGCTCGTTATGCAATTCTACGCGTAAGTGTTTCCAAATTCCTGTTTTTGGCAGTCAATTATATTCAAAGTTGTCACTTTTACTTCATTTAGCCAACTGACATAACTTTAAGAGTTAGTTTGTGGGAATTCAATTTGTTTCAAGTTTGATGTCAATCCGTGATCAACGTTGCAACCAATTGAATCCCTACAAACTCTAACTCTTGAAAATTAATCTGGTGTTCTTCTAATGAGTAGACTTACTCAGCGGTATCCGGCTGGTCGTTAGTGAGGGCGAGTACTCGCCGCTGATGATATTGGCGGGTGCAAGTTTTTTTATTATTTCATTTTGATTACAGCTTGATGCCACACCGTATTTTCGGTACAATTATGGAATTTTCAGCATATGATATTGGTAGCCCAAATTTTGCAGGCTGACCATAGATATTGGGTGTGCGTCGGTAGGGGATCGAACCCCGGATCATGTGCATGGTTGGCGAGAGTCCTTAACCACTGTGCCACCGACACACAGTGGTAAAAGTTAGAATTCATGTGCTGGTCACTGAGATTTCGGGTCCCAGTGGCTGGATGGTCTGTGAGCTTGACTTGTAGTCAGAAGGTCCCAGGTTCAAATCTTGGCGGTGGGCGGGTAATGACGATGAGTCTGAAACTTGGATAGAACATCTGGCTGTCCAGTACTCCCTGGTGGCTTTCAGTGGTTGTCTGACTGATATCCATCAATCTGTGGTCATACTTGACATAACACTATACTAACTTGTGTTTGGATGTTAGTGTCAGGTAGACTCATACTCACATCCATGGGCTATGAGGCAAGGCACATAGAAATAGAATCAACTATAATTCCATAATAGAATAATTTTACTGGATAAAATACAGTCAAACAGTATTATTTAGTGATAATGTTTGGAACCCATAAACTCCTAAAATTGTTCTGAGCCTTAATTACACTAATTGTGGCGGCGCTCAACAAGAAAAACTATCACATTAAAGTTAATCAGACTGAAAAGATGATGGGGGTTTTCACGATTTACTTAGGTGTGTCTACCTCACTGATTCCGGTCTTCTTAGGAGGTTGTAGCATAATTAAAAGTTATGTGATTCTGACCAGTCTTATTTCAGTTCTAAGCTTACTAACGTATTACTGTAGTTGGGACTCTATCACATGTATCATGAATAACCGATCATACCCATCACTGACTGACTGACCTACCTGCTTTACTTAATACTCTACGTGGCAAAATCCATCTTTAGTTAGCCCTCCCTATAAAGGATGCAGAAGGAATAAATCCGACGGAATTAACTATCTTCTGAATATTCACGAAAAGGAAATTCGAAAACTTTCCTCAAGAGGTATTTTTAATCTACCCAACACAGAGTTCGTCTAGAACAAGCAAAATAATGAGTTAATAATAAAAGAGGAAACTGTCAGCTAGTGATATTGCGCGTCAGGTCATCGTTCCGGTGGGAAATGACGAATTAGACAGGATAATATCGAGAAGATTGTCTGAGAATTAAATGGAAGCTTGTAGGCAGTCGTGAGATCAGTTGAAGAAGACAGCAGAGAACAGAACAAAACGAAGATGTATTGTTGGAAGCCGTATTGTTCCACTCGGAACCCAAGGCAGAATACTAATAACAATAATAAGAGATAATTTTCAAGTGACTAGCCCTATTTAGGCAGTGATCTGGGGTTCTAGTGAGAAGGCGTGACCGGCGGGGTACAGCAGATTGAAGATGAGGCAGTAACTCATCGAAGGAGACATTGTGAAGTGGTCGCGCTATGTCATGAATTGGCAGAAGTTAGAATTCATGGGCCATTGGATCGGGTCCCAGTGGGTGAATGGTCTATAAGCTAGCTCGCCTTGCAACCAGATAGTCCTGGGTTCGAACCCTGGTGGTGAGTGCGTATTGCTGAAGAGTCCCAAACTAGGGTGAAACAGCTGTCCAGTACTCCCAGCTTGTTTTCTAGTGGTTCTCTAACCAATGTCAGCTTATGATGAAATCCTCCAACCAATAAGAACAAGCGACTAAAAAGGTGAAACAGATAACATCCTATCGCAGAAGTATGAAAAAAAATTATACAAGGCTGCAATAATAAAGAGCTGCCAACGAAATTATTCACATAGCATGATTTGATTTCAATAGTATTAAGCACATTAGTACTACATACATATATTAATCAGCTAAAAATTGACTTAGTCAACTAGCTATCAAGTATGCTATCGATTATAAGGGTCGTGTAAGGTCAAGCTGAACAAGTGCAGACTAATAAAATGTGGTGTTTAGATTGTGACAGTTAATTCTTAAAGTTATTATAAATACTTTTCTTAATTGCTTAGTTTGCACGTATTACACTAATTGGCAATATATATAACAACACAAGGCAAGGGCCAGGCAACAGATCGTTGATTAAGGAAATCAACACATATAGGTTTTCATGTACATATTATATATTATTGTTAGCAGAAAAACAGTCCTCTGATTGGTTGTTTCTCACAGAAAGTTAACATTGCATCTCTTTGTGACTGTTTCTTGGATGTCAGATCATCTATATGCTAACTGTATCCACCTACGCAAAGCCTTTCTTCTCATATCTCTCACTACCAATATTGGGGACATAAAATTGACGTAAATTACTGTCCACCAATTTTGCCTAACAGCCAGCTCTCACCATACATATATGTATATGATCAGTAAAATCTAGTGGGGTGAAATAAAACACATTTGAATTTATGCAATCTCTGAGAAAATTGGCCTTCGCATTGACTTTAGCAAGCTTGACAGAATAGCGCAGAAACCCATTAAGTTCCTTTTACTGTCAAAGGGTCCTTGCTAATTTTTAATTCACGGAAAATACCCATTCAGACATGAATATAAGAAACAACAAAGTTCAGCGAAGAGTCTCTTTTCTCCGGTGAATTCATTCACTTAGCTATACAATTGCATCTTCACATAATTTTCTATAGTTGGTTTGTAAGGATTAGATTTGTTTTTACCAGTTTGACCATAGATAGATATCAGTAAAAGAACCATTGAAAACCGGCCACAGGGATTACTGGACAGCTGTTTCATCAGCTTAGTTTGAGAATCATCGGCACTACACACCCACTGCCACGGTTCGAACCCAGGACCTTCCGGTTACAAGGCAAGCTAACTCGTATACCATTCAGCCACTGGGACCCGACTCTTCAATGGCCAGCCAACCCATGAATTCTGACTTCTACCAATTCGTGATTTAGCGCGACCCCTACCAGTGTCGTCGGTGGGACATCCATAATTATTTTGTGTGTGTGTGTGTGTGTGTGTACATTAGGGTTGTCAACCAAATATAAAAGTTAGTTGGGCTACTGTTCACGTTATCAAAATGTTTCTAAAATATTATGAATGATCAAAATTGTAACCAGGGGGGTGAAGATTGGTAAGTATTGAGAAGGGTTGCATAATATGAAATAGGATGTTAATGGAGACACGTGTCCAAAAAATAGATTGTGTAATGGTTAGAAAGAGTAAATAAAGGATTGGTTAAGAGGAAGATGTTACTAAGACACCATACAAAAATTCGAAGAACATTAACAAAGTCGTAGAACTTAGAGTTATACCCAAGGTAAAAGGAGGGGTTGCAGAAGTTTCTTCTGTGTGCATAAATCAAGCTTTCCTATCCGGATTATTAAGCCCTTGGCAATGCAAAGTATACAGAAGCTTACTTACCGTTTTCGGGAGGCTTCCTTTGACTTTGTAGATGACTTTGAATGAATCCTCCGTGCATATTGAGTGACCACTGTTGACTATAATGTCCAATTATAGCACTCTCTATTGATCCACTGTTATCTTTTTGTAGCTAAGCGGGATAATGTTCTTTGACTCTCTTTAGATAATACACATATCGAACAACCTAAATATCTCGCTGCACATGAGCAAGTAAATTGATAGATACACAAAGAAGTGGTCAAATGCGATAGTTTATCTTTGGAGTTGTTGAAGAACAATGGGCGGCTTGAGTATAGCAAATCGTAATGTAGCAGCGACGTTAGATATTCTTCTCTTTAAGATGTCGCCCAGAAGGTCGCCTTTGAACTCCACATTCATGTATAGCATCTTCTTCGGAACAGAGATGGGTTGTTCTTTGTTGATTTTCGGTTTTATGTGTGTTATCTACCAAGGGTGGTGGATAGCCATTCTTAAGTCGTGTCTTTCTCAAAAGAGTGATCTCCTCTTCTACTGACTCGAGGCTGCATATTCTGCGGATCCTAGTCTTAACGTATAGTTGCCTACAATTCAGTATATACCAAACAAATGATTAGACACATGACACTAATGAATAATGTCCAATCAAAGTATCCAGTACAGTCCTACAAGAATGTGGTTAGTCCCAAGCCGGAATAACTCAATGGTATTAACGTTTCTGATGACTGCAGCACACTGGATAACACAGGTTTGCATCTCACAATGGACATGAGTTCCTTCAGGGTTGCAGATACGCCTTGTTTTACCGGGGAATGCCATGGTGTACCATGATGGCGAGTCATTTAGCACGGTCGGTGGTCACCGTACATAACTGACCCATAAAATTCAGTCTATACCAAACATAGAGGACTAGACGTACAACACCAGTTAGTAGTATCCAATCAAATAATAATAATTAACAATAATGTTTAAAAAGAGTACCTTAATAAAATCATAACCAAGGGTAAATCATATTTTATCTCTAGTGAAGATAATTCATCTGATCGTTTTGTATTCTTTCGGTGCTTGTCTTATGTGTAATTTATAAAACACAAAATAATTGAGCAAAGAATATTCTTTTCGATAAATTCCTCTTTTGGCTCTACAATTTTATACTCATGTTTATATACATAGAATATTCTAGATTAGTAGTGAATATCAATATTAGTGTTTTCTAAATAATATCGATTTGTGAAGTAGGATCAATGCAATTACCGTTCATTAAAGATGCTTAAATTATAATAATGATAATAGAATAGCAAATACTTATATCAATAGCAAATAGAATATCAACTAAAATTAGGAAAGTTCCTCAAAAATTCAGAATCATCCAAACCTAGATGGCCAGCGTGGTAAGGATAATGTCTGAACTAGCTGCTTTTGGACACACAAATTTCGCTTCTTAATATGGATCCCAACAGCCAATCTCAGCAATATTTAGTAGTCGAACTCTTAAGGCAAAATTGAGATTCGTAAGTATGCGGTAAATGACCCTGAAAGCATGATTAACGTCAATCTTGTGTTCTGTATCCACAAGATGAGATAGAATAGCGCTGTTAATAGATTTTGTTTGTCCTTTGCTAAACCATTGTGCAGGGTGATGTTCGGAAATTCAACGAGAAACGCGCCTAATTGTACGGTCTATGTAACTGGCTCACTCCACAGGAGCAGTTGAATTGGCAGATACACATGGAAGAGGCGAAATTAGACAGTTTGTCTTTTACTCCCGAACGCAGAAGAAGAGTGGTTTTAAAGATACAGCGTAATTTTGCAGCAGGGAATGTGTAATTACTAAGCACTTATTTGCATTCCATTAAAACATACTTTGGTTATTTTTTCATGATCGGTTTTTGCCTCTATGTTGTGCCGCTATTTTTCACCCTCATTGTTTACACTTGATGTTGTCAATATTTTATGCGGACACAAAGCTTTTTTCAGGAAGAAAATATCACTTATTTTAACCATACTGATTTCTGTGATCTAAAACTTCCTTGATGATAAGCAAAGTTATTTCATTGTCCATTCGTTATATAAAATGTTAACATGGTTTCTGTGACCGACTATAATATATATTTTGCAAAACGTTGATTTGAAATAGAGACACCGATGCTGGACGCAGATGCACTGATCACGAATACCTCTTGAATGACTACACCAATAATATTACACATCAGCTGCCTGTTTCTCCAGTCTGCACTACTTAAACGAGAACACACAATGATGTGACTTACAAAGTATTTTGATGTGGTTGTGTTCTCTGAGCTGGATACTGGTTAATTTGCGAAGCTTTCATTGCCCGCCCTACTAGGCAACATCGCTTCGGCGCATGCTTCAGTATGTTGAAGTGAGCTTTTAGATTTCTCCATGAGTAGTTTATTAGTCATCTCTCCTGGTCGGTGACCTTGAACGTGACTTTTTGGTTGTTTTTTGTGTGTTTTCACGCCGTCTAGGCTGTTACTTGTATTGGAACTGATTGTTTCCTAGTCGACTAGGATAACGTTCAAATATAAGACAGAGAAAACACCAAGAATGCTAGAGAATTTTTAGAAGCCTGTCTGGTATTCCAGTGAATCGTCAATCAATAGACACATCGAGATAGACAAAATTTACCAACCGAAAAAAGAAAGAAATCTCACCCACAAAGCGTCAAAATTCAAGTCAAAGAAAGAATCACTTTCAATACAAGTAGCCTAAAGGGTGTGAAAACACACAAAAAACAACCAGAGTCACGTTCAAGGTCACTCACTAGGAGAGATGACTAATAAACTACTCGTGGAGAAATCTAAAAGCTCACTTCAACAAATTGAAGTCTGTCTGTTTTCGACATAGAACTTTGCACACATGTGCAGCACTTCAAGTCGCCACACTCCCTTCGTGTAGCACACAAAGCAAGAGAAGAAAGTAGAAGAAGTGCATAATAGACACAGTAAACAAAGGTGTGAGACAAAGAAATAGTAATAACGAAGAACAAAACAGTCTCATTGGAAATCATAAGTCACAAGGAGTGGATGCATCTGCGCGATTGAGAAAGATTTTGAGCCATATCACCAATTGTTTCCAGTAAGTGGTTTTTACCGTCCCGAGGACCGCAACCAGTCAGGAAGTCTACACCTCCATACACGGCTCTCTTAAACTAACTGTTGTGGATTTCATTGACTGGTGAAGCCATTTTTTGGTTTGACCAACACTGGTTCTTTTCCAGCCTGATCCATCCTATGTCAGTTAACATTGCCCGTCGAGGGAGACGATGGCGATGGCTAGGCTAGGCATGTATAACACATGTCCTAACCATCTCAATCAATGTAACTTCACAGTCTCGTCGATTGATTTCCCCTCCTTGCCTAGCACTCGACGTCTAACCTCAATATTGCTCACAGCGGGAGATAGTGCGCAGGCACCTATGGTCAAATACACTCAGCTAGTCTTTTGATGTCTTCCACTTTCAATGGTCAGGTGTCAGCCATAAAGGAGGATGAAGCGAACTGCTGAGCAGTGCGGACGCCCTTTGGTCGATAGCCGGATATCACGTCTACGCCAGAGACGGCGTAAACTGGGATACACGAAACTAGCCCTCTGTATCCTTGCTGAGACTTCTTCAGAGATCAACCCGTTGAGGCTGATGGTACTTCCCAAATAAGTGAAGCGGTCAACGTGCTCTACCACTTCACTCCCTGTTCCTAAACTAGGGATCAGTGTGGTCCAGTCCTTTTACATCATCTTGCATTTGGCGGGAGCAAAGTATGCGCTGAAGATGTTGCCTAGTAGCGCAATGAAAGCTTCGCAAATTATTTATCTAGCTCAGAAAACACAACCACATCAAAATCATCCACCTGAGGTACAAATCGTCTCCATCAGACCTACAAAGTATGTTTCACGCGATCATGTATGATTCAAGAAATCACCAGGGATATGTCAGTTAGTCCTGTAATCATGATCAATAAAATAGTTAATGGGCTTTATTTTACGCTGTCCAATTCTGATTGGTTTATTTCCAGACTGGATATCGATCACCCTATCAAACTAGAACCTTCATACACTTTTCAACTGACGTATATGTATATGCCCTGCATGTTTCATATAAACATTGAATATGTAATTAATCGTTCAACCAATAGACTAGTGACAGAAACAATTTTCGAATGTTGGTTCACAGGGATTTGATTGGTTTCAGATTGACTCACAAGCTGTTATCAGTTAGACAACAAATGAAAAACAGGTAGTACTGGACAGTTGTTTCGTCCCATCGTGAGACTCTTCGACAGTAGGTTTCTGAAGCAAGCCCGTTGATTATTCAGGCAATGACTGACTATCCTGACTGGTGAAAGTCGAGTGAGTCCTGACTGGTTTCAGCATAGAACTATGCATAGAAGTGCACCAATTCCAGTTGCAACATTCCATGTAACATAGAGGTAGAGAAGAGAGATTCGAAGGAACGATAATAAGCAAAATTTGAGGGAGAAAGAATTATAAAACAAGGAAAGAAAAGGACGGTTTATTTGATATGAGATACCATAAAGAGTAAATCCCAACTGCTCTCCTGACAACGATTTCGAATCATACCACCAATTGTCGCCAGTTGTCATTGGTTCTTAGGATCCCGAAGACCCGAATCAGATAGTCTTTACATTCCTAAGTGTCTCAAACTAGCTGTTAAAGATTTCATGAACTGATTTCATGTTTTGGTTTGACCACTACCAGCTGTTTTCCTACATCCTCTTGTGTCAGCTAAAGCTGGTGATCGAGGAAAGCGATAGCTAGTCGTGTGTAACACATGCTCCAGCCATCTCGAATGATTGATTTTCCAAAAGAATGGTTAATGAACAAAGAACACTTTTCGATAACTTCATCATCAAGCTCAACAGTTATATATACATAATAGTAGTGAATGAATTGGTACTATGAACAACACTAATGTTGTTTAAATAACCGCGAATCAATAATATCAATAGATTACAGTTCAATAGCACCAACATAACAAACTGAATGTCAGAAAAATTAGGAAAGATAATAATACAAATTCATGGATTTATAGTCTCCACTGAAGGCCGGCCAGAGCAGTAGTAGGGGCTGCACTTGCTTCTTTTGCACACAAAGCACTGGTTGTTTCACGCGAATTGCGATAGCTTCTGCTGTTTTGAGCATGTGGTACGTCGATGTTTTTGGCAATTTATTTGTCACCTGGTAGATGATAGAGAAGGATTCTTCATTACTGGCTGGCTTTGTGGCCAGTTTGGACCACATGGTTCAATATCGAACTGTTGATGGTTTTTACAATACTTTTACTTAACTATACTGATAGATATTGCCGAGTGACCACAAAAAACCAAGTTCCCAGAGCGACGGCCGATATAATTCGCTCCATCACAAGTGCAGTTGAATTGGTAGATACAATTTGAAGTGGTTAGTCTAGGTACTTCATCTTTCAACCGAGGAATCACCATCGATCGTGTAGAAAATAGGACATGTAGTTTGCCAGCATTAAAAGTTCTTTGAACTGATTTTCTTAATTTCTTCGTAATTATTTCACTTGATATATCGCCCTTGTTTATGGATAGTGAATAGTCCTTTTCCGCTTTCTTTCTCATGTGTTTCTTGATAAATTTGATTTTCCGTCCTTATCTAACTCTCGACGCCTAACCCCTCAACATTACTCATCCTGTTGTATCGCCTAAGAAGGGGTCTAGGACGCTAATACGTAGTATCAAAGACAGTTGACCTTTTGATGTCTGCCACTTTAAATGGCCATGGCTCACAGCCATAAAAAGAGGATGGAGGGAAGTGTAGTGGCATGCAGTCCAATGGCTCATGAGTTCTACCTTCTTCCAATTTGATTTGTATAGCGCTAAAGCCAGTCAATGTTATCAGCGCAAGTATTCAATATCAGCTCGTCATCCAACCTTAAATTCTATTTCTGTTGTAATTTTAGGTTTTAATTGAAGCTGATGATTCTATGGTGCGTATAGATGAAGTAGTCGGTGAGGACGGTGCACCTGATTTGTGTATTTTCTTTGATCGTAAAAAGCTTTTAACTGTGGCTCGTCCAGCAATTGGTGAATTCCTCAGGAAATTACAAGTAAGTATAACTGTAAAAAATTGTTCACCTTATTTTTCTGCATTTCTAATAGTTACTGCAACGGTGAATCATGAGTAGTGCGTCTCGGCATTTCAGGGGCTGAATATTTGTCAATCACGACTCACTTGGTTCGGGCTAAGGGCTAGATCCCCGAACCTCTAAACCTCGCTTAGCCTTTGAAATTAAGCCCGGTGTGTAGGGAAGGCTAGGTGGTTATGAGGAACTAGCAACCCCAGTGCCATAAAAACTAAACACTACAGCTAGTGATATTTTAAAGCTCAAACTTCCAAACCCTATGTCCCATTCGAAACGTAGAGGAATAGGATTTTTAAAAATGTGCTCCTTGTATTATTATTCCCTTGGGTTTCGAGTGGAACATAGGGCTTCAACAACACATCTCGCCTTTCTTCTATTTTCTGCCATTCTCCTCAGCTGTGTCCACGATTGTCCATAATCTCTCATCTCTTCCTCACACGATCTCTTCCATGTCACCATAGGACGCCCCACTCGTCATTTCGCATTCGGGCTCCACTCGAATCCAGGGGGCGGGTTAATAATTGACCAGAAAAATTAACATAGATAATTAAAGGGTACAAAGGGTTACCACAATTGGACTATATAATACATAATTACTGAGAAGTACAGAGTAATTATGGAATATAAATGAGTGTTCAAGTTGACCATGTAATAAGCAAATGAAGATGAAACAAGTCAAAAAAATAATTTGGACAATGCTAATTTTTAAAAGGCTTATAGGGCGGAGGGCGAAATAGTCAGGTTTTTACACTCATGTGTAACGACGGCTAGCCAAAGTAAGGAAACTGACTGTACGAATTTCTTCTCAACACACAGGTTCGACTTCTTCAGGTGGATTCCAATAGCTTCAAATGAATGTATAAAAGACGGAAGTCGTAGAGCAAAATTAAGATTAATTGAAATGTGATAAATAACTGAGCACGCTTTATTAACATCAACTTTATGCGCTCACTGTCGTCTATACGCTGTGCTAAAACACAGCCAGAAATGAGGATTTAATTTAAAGATGTAAATATTTCTTCCCTCAATCCTTTCGTCGTCTAAATGGGGGATGTTTGTTGTTTCTACACTGAAATATGCTATCGTAATGTTGTGCACATTAAACATTGAGAGGTCTGATGAGAGTGGTAATGGTTATAATCTAAGAAAGTTGAAGTTATATTCATCGGATAATATTGCAAGATCAACGAAGTATACGAATCTGTTGAGAGAATATTGTTCAGTATCTATGGGTGTAGTGAGAGCTGGCTGCGGACAAGCCAAAATTATATTCCGTCAGTGTTAAGTCCGTAATCAGGGTCATGAGAAAAAACAATGACAAAGCTTAACTTTGAGGAATTCACCAACCAATCACAGCAGACGTAATGTGTGCACATAATATTCGCAGATATACGGCTTAACTGTCTGAGAAACAGTTACAAGCAGTACAGAATAACCTTGGGCAAGAAAACAACCATTCAGAAGACTTTGCTTCTCCGCTGACAATAATGTACACAGAAATCTATAAAAACCTCTTGATTTTCTCAGTAAGCAATCTGTTGTCTGGCTCTTGTCTTTTGTCGTTACATGCGAAGTGGTATTTATTCATTTATTCCAGATTTCCTTGCACTATGTCTCGTGATTCTATATTTCCTTTCTAAATCGTGTAAAGAGGTATCCTGCAGTACTTTTAAAGAAAGTCCTTATACTGTGCTCAAGATAACCGAATCCACAGAATGCAACTGATTTCAATACATTATAAAATCTATCCTTGATCTGCATAAGCAAGATACTCTAACAGACTGGATGTTTCCAACGGAGAGACTTTTTCATACTTTTATTATTATTCCTATTACATCTTTTCAGTGTGGTGTCGTTTCTCATCTTATATTTATTATTGTCATTGCTACCTTTAGTTCCTAGAGGAACATAGGGCTTCAGCTGCGCGTCTCCATTGCCTTCGGTTCTCTGACAACGTTTTCACCCGGCTCCACGTCTGCCCACACGCTTTCATCTCCTCTTCACATAACCTTCTCCTCCATGTCACCCTTGCACTGACGACCAACTCGCCACTTCCCATTGGGGTTCCACTGGAGGGCCTATCTAGTGATGTCGCTTGATAGTTTCCTGAGCGTATGTCCAATCCACCTCTATTTCTTCCTGCTTATTTGTTGCACATTCAGTTCCTGGTTGGTTCATTCTCTTCCAGAGATCCCTCCCTGTTGCTGATCTTTTCCGGCTGGCCATCTGATCTTGATTAGTATTGAGCGAAGACAGCTGTTGATGGAGGTCTGTAGTTTGTTCTAAGTGTTCTTCATGACACACCAAGTCTCTGATCCATAAAGTAGCACTGAATTCACATTGACATTGTAAATCTGGATCTTATTCTGATGTTCATACTGAGTGCTGTTGACCCCCACACAGACTTGAGGGAAATGAAAGCTTGTCTTGCTCTCCCGATCGTCCCTTTGATATCCTCTTCAGTTCCATCCGCCTGTAGTTCAAATGATGCTTCCCAAGTAGGTGGGTAGGTTAAGGAGATTGCTTCTTTCATATTCCTACTACTTATGCTGATTGTTGTCTGTTGCTATTGGCCAGAAATCTTCATCACCTACCTCTGTTTTCTCTATGTTTGGCTGAAGTCCTTCCTGTGTTTGATGCTTCTTTTGTTAACTTGTTGCTTTTCACTTGCATATCTTCCACTTTGTGGGAAATCAGACATATATCTTCGGAGAAGTCCAGACCCTCCAGGTTTTTTGTGTGGGTCCATTTTATGCCCGTTTCCTCGAAGCCGCCCTCTGTCTGTTGCATCGTCCAGTCTACTGCAATTAGGAAAATAACAGGCAACCAGCTTGTTTCCCGTTGTGGATTACTTGGCACGCAGCATTGTCGCTCCCCTTCCTGTTGTAAATGTTTTTCCTTTTGTTTGTGTTGTCACGAATGCTTTTTTCCTTGATGCTAACGGGAGGAACGCAAAAAGTTGCTCCTCTGTAAACTATACATTAATGTAACAACCCCCTTCTCAGGCGTGACAAAATTGCTACAGAAACTTTAGCACGCTGAGTTTCATGTTTATATCTATACTTAAATTATCCACTAGCTATATAGTTCTGTTTTTCTTAGGTGTTTGAGAACATAACTCATTCACTGGGTTAACCAGTGGGCTTTCAGTCAGTGAATGTTCCCGAGTTCGAGTCTCGTCCCAGCCTGGGTCTTGAAAGACCTGCTCAAAGAACTACGTTCATGATAACTCACATTTAGTAATTAACACTATCTTCATAAAAGCGACTAGTTATACACTAAGTACATTCATAAAATGTAGTTGTCTTTTGGAGCGTACAACATTTGCTTCTCAGTGTTATTTTTAGTAATTTTTTTCAAAGTTAAAAAAACCACACCCAGCTGACGAGTCCCAAATGGGACGAAATGTACATCCTGAATTCCACTGCTAGTCACCATCCACCAATGAACTTCAAATTACATACCCAAACATCGTCGAAGCATCTGCACAAGAAGCCAACAGAGATGTCAACCTGACACCGAGCACTTCGTCCCAATCAATCGACGGGGAAATCTAAAATTCAGTTAAATAATTGATATGACCCGTTGCACAATAGGTGGCTCTCGTGGCCCAAGTGGTCTAGTGGATAACGCTTTGACGTTTGAAACTATGGGCACTGGGTTCGAGCCTCGGTGGGAACATCATCACTCACTGAGAAATGCAGGTACATCCAGCTGATGACTCCCAAATAGGACGAAATGTTCATCCTGGATCCCACTGCAAGTCACCATCTACTAATTAAATTCTGAAAAATTAAGGAAACCACGTTCGATTAAACTTCTAATCAATACCTTTTTTCATTTACTCTATTCTATTTCTTATTTAGTATTACAAAAGTACAGCGAATGCTAAAGATGGATGTGCTTTCTTCCAACACTATAGTCAACTGCTTCCCCAACATACGAAATTGCGTAAAATTGTATTAGATCGTAAAAAACCGCGACCTATATTTGTACAACCTGGACTTCGTCAAACCACCAATGATGTTGAATTAATCACATATCCTTCAACTTATCCGGTGTTATCCAGTCATTTATAGATCGTTATAATGATTTGCCTTTAGGTCAAAAAGCTCTTGATGCTTTAGAAATTGTTTGGCGTAGAGAAAAGCCGTATTTTGAAGACATTCCTATATAAGTTATGTATGTGAATGGAGCGTTGAACACTTATATATAAGTGAATTGTTATTTTTGCTCCTATTTTTCACACTGCTTATATACAATGTGTGTATAAGTGTGCTGATTCGTGTTCTTGAATAAATTGTTGAGTTTTGGAGTTTTCCTCTGGCGGCGGCGTTCTTTCTTATGAGTCATTGTTTCGAGGTTTTTCTGGGCAATATGATTGATCAAATATGCGCGACAATAAGTTAGTCAAAGTTAAATACACTTTGTGTAATTGTTGGAATCTGTTGTGAGTCGGTTGAATGCTAGCTAGCTAGCTAGCCAGGCAGTCAGCCAGTCATCGAGTTTTGCAAGAGTTTCAGGTTCGATTCTCCAGATGACTAAGTCGAAAACTGCTTAGTTTATTAGTTGATAGGAAGCCGGGCATATAGGAAGAAGAAGGTTGGTTGTGAGAGGCAAGCAAACCTATTCTGTAAAATGATATCAAAGGTGGAATCATTGATATAAGAATAGAACTTATGCACTGTGGTAGAGTATAATTCGATTGTGGGTAAAAATTTATTTTGATAAAGTCTAACAGTCTTTCAAATGAAGTGTCGTCAAGATTTGACAGAATAGTTCTAAAATATTTAGGCGCTGAGTCAGAAGTAGATATTTGTAAAATCTCAGTGAGATTGAAATGAGTAATTCCAACATCTTTTGGCACACTGATCGGAACTTCTTCAGGGAAATAATTATATAACAGAGGTTTATATATAAAAGGAACATCTCTTGTTTTTAAAACTTTGTCTAATCATGAGTTTTGAAACAGGCATCAACTACTCATTTTAATTTCGTTGATATTTTACAAATGTCTACTTCTCACTCGGCGCCCAAATATTTTAGAACTATTCCTGTCAAATTTTGACTACAGTTCATTTGATTTATTTTGCAATCGAATTAAATTAGCAGAGAAACTATGTAATTGGCACAATCATCGTGTTTCCACTCTCCGTTGTCTCCAGCACAATGCATATCCTAAATCCGTAGCTGTCGAGTCACCTGAAAACTTCAGTAGGTCGAATAAAGCAGCTCAATATTCAGAAAGAAGACAAAGTAATAAGTTTGACAGGGTGCTTCAACTAAACTCTAATCCTAAACACCATAATTTTGAAAATACGTCTAATCATAAAATTCTAAATACCGACAGTTTGAACAGACATGAAGGTGTGATGTTAGCTGATGCATAGGAAATCCTGATTAAATAAAAATGGATATGTATCATTAGCTTATAATACTTGGTCAAAGTTCCCGATTGTCTCTATCTTCTTATGGAGACGTTAAGAAACGTTTTACAACTGTTTATATATATATATATATATATATATATATATATATATATATATATATATATATATATAAAGTGTTTAACAGTGTTTAAAGTGTTTAACAAAGGTAGACCAATATTTGTAAGTTCGAGGTGAAATTTTGATCACAACTCGTTGATACTTGTTTTATGACTCAATATGATTGGACAGAATGGTTTTTCAAAACAAGAAATGTTCCTTTTATATGTAAACCTCTGTTATGTTAATTTTGATTAATTTCCTTGAAGAAGTTCGGACCAGATTGCCGAAGACAGGAAACGTTGGAATTATTCATTTCAATCTCGCTGATTTCGCAAATATAATTATTTTTTTTGCAAATGTCTAACAGTGTTTGTTATACACTAATATTTACTGATGACCACGTTTCCAGCACAATTTATCACTGCACATAGTCATATCAAGGCACTACTCACTCAACTTTCTAACTTGGTTTATATAATTCCATTATTTTCCATCGCTTGACTTGACTGATGGCAGTATTTTCCATATTTCCGGTGTGATTGGTGAGTCATTCCTATTGCACTAAGTAGTACAGCAAAAAAGCCTAAACGATGAAATGAAACAGACAGAAGAAGCGTTGGCGTTAAATAGCTAACTATCCTATAAAATTCATTAAGAAGGTCACAAGAAGAAGAAAAATAATTGTGAAACTAATAATGATAACATAAATAAGAAAGAATAAAAGGCTTCTACAGTTCTTCCACATAGAGAGTGGACATCTGAGATCATCCCTACGTAGGATTCTGTTATGTACTCGTCGCTGAATTATTGTTATGGACTGGTCGAGAAACTAATAGTCCTGACGCGAGAAGGCGGAAATCAGAAGACCACTAGGTTTGCGATGATACTTCTATTGTCCAAACACAAGGAGACGAAATTAAATGGTCTCACACCAAAGTGGTAAGCAAGTCAAGTAGTTGTAAAGTAAAGAAGTTGTAAAGTAGTTCACACAAATTGTGAATGCGAATATATATAAATAATTCAGACAAGCGTGGGAAAAATCATTAGACAGTCTTAACATGAATGGCTAATTATAATGGAGTGTCGATCCAATTATACATAGCGAATATAGCAGACATGCCAACAAACATATATGGATATATGTCACCAAGCAACGGACTGTCAACAAACACTCATATTATATATAATATAATATAAGGAGAATATACGTTAGTAAAGGAGACAAGTCCATACAAGTGAAGTGGTCACAGACTAACCGAGCAAACAGAAAGAGAGACCAACATGCACACACACACATAAATATATATATGTGGATACATATCAGATTCTTAATAAAGCAGGAATTAAGGTGGCATTTAATAAACCTACAAACTAACTCAGGTAGGACAAGCTCTGCAGGTGGGTTAAAGGACCCAGTTGACCCCAACTAAACAAAATAATATAATTTTTCAAAATACCTTTCAATGACTGTGAGTTGTTAAGTAAACCTAGTAGATCAGGGATAGTTAGATTGTCGGAACATAACAATGGTTGACCCGGAAAAGACAAGTAATTTAGAAAAAAAAGCTCAGCGATTGCACTGCATGCAATAGAGTGGGACAAAGTTAAAATTCTAAGAAGTAATAGAGATAGGTGGAGAGCGAGAGAGGTTGGTTACTGAATCCTGTTTCATTGAGTCTACAATCAACACATGCAATAGGAATGACTCATCACTCATACCGGAAATATGGAGAATGCTACTGCTACCAATCAAATCAAGCGATGAAAAAAATAATGGAATTATATAAACCAAGTTAGAAAGTTGCGTGAGTAGTGCCTTGATATGATTGATGATTGTGAGCAGTGATAAATTGTACTCGAAACCTGGTTATCAGTAAATATAACACAATGGATGTCTAAGTTGGAAGCCGTATGTGTTCCATTTCGAATGCAAAAGAGATGCAAAGAAGTTGACTCAATTTGCGTAGTTTGAAGTGTTGGTTGACGCTACAGTGAAATAACTATCTGATAAATCTTAGTATTTGTAATGCGCCCGGCCACATGAGATTGATTAGTCTTTTGATAGAACTCTTATTATATTTGGGTAAAATGTAAGCGGACATTTAATAATTCCCACAGTATTATGTCATGAGTAAAATTTAAACCAACGGATATGAATGCTTACAAAATAAGAAGGTGGAATTACCACAAAATACTTGTGATTATAATTATCATGGATTAGGTCAGTATCTAGAGATATAACAGAATATGTCATATATGAGACGGTTCACAGAATGTCTGTCTGTCTGGATTCAACATAGAACTTAGCACCGAAGTGCAGCACTTCGAGTTGCCACGTTCCAAATAGCACACAAAAGTAGACAAGATGAGTGAAGAGAATCAATAGAGTTTGACAAGTATACGAGTGAAAAAGAATGGGTAATGGTATAAAGAAATATGAAAGATTACAGAGACTGAATACATCTGCGCTTGCCATTGACAACGATTTTGAGCCATGTCACCTATTGTCTCCAGCCATTGATTCCTAGAGTCAGTCCCGAGGCCCCCAACCGGGAGTCTGCATCTCCCTACCTGACTCAGTTTAGCTGTCAAGGGTTTCATGGGTTGATGAGGCCATGTTTTTGTTTGGCCACCAATGGCTCTTTTCCAACCTGCACCTATATCAGCTAGCAATGTCCGTCGGGGGAGGCGGTGGTTAGGCATGCGCAGCACGTGACCTAGCCATCTTAGTCTATGTAACTTTATAGCCTCGTCGATTGGTTTTCCCTCTTTGCCCAACACTACGCCTAACGTCAACATTACTTACCTTATTAAACCAGCCAGCGTGAGAAAGAGATCGCAGACATCTATGATCGAAAGCAGTCAACCTTTTCATGTCTTCAACTCGTATTGGCCATGTTTCAGAGCCATAGAGAAGGACGGAGCGAACTGATGAGCAGTACACACGTCCCTTGGTTGATAACCGGATGTCACGCCTACACCAGAGATGGTGTAAGTCAGCGAAAGCAGCTCGAGCTTTTTGGATCCGTGCTGAGATTTCATCGCCAATCAGTCCGTTGGTGCTGATACAACTTCCTAAATAGGTGAAGTGGTCAACATGTTCTATCACTTCACTCCCTATCACTAAGCTAGGAGTTGACGTTGGAAGAGGGTGTAAAACTGTTAGGGATTTGTAGCCAGAGAAAAATATTCTTTAACGGAGGAGGAAGTTGGATAAGACAGGTCTTAACATTGCAAAAATTATGTTGGGTTACTTCGATAAAGATTGAAAGATGAGATTCGCAGTATAAAATGTGATAATATCATCAGTCTGTTTCACATGCTGTCATCAGCTACTGCAAAACCACCTGAAATTACAATGTTATAAAAAAAAGAATGAAGATAACATACTTCAAAGTTCGAAGGGTAGTAGAGAAATTATTATCAAATTAACGCATTCGAAATGTAAACATTACAATTTTTAGTTTAAGTTACCATGGTCTTATATGCTTTCAAATTAGAAAATGAGAGCGACGAGGATAGGACAGAAACCAAAAGAATCTAATAGACAGTTTCAGCTTGTAGGTTTACATAGCAACTTATGAAGCTTATAGTTAATTTATAAAGTTGGAAACTTGTTCAGTGGAGCTAAAATCAATCATTTGGATGGTTAGTTCAAATATGGTTACCAAGGCAACGGGAGACTCACTACAATCTCTTTCTGAATGCTTAAGTTTAGTTCAGAATATTTGATTTCACTTTCTTCAGCAAAATTTACTGTCCTTTGTATATATTCAATATTTTGAAAGATTTGCATATCTCGATGAAATTCTTCATACTCGCAGGG